GATGTCATGCTCAAGAACATGGACCTCCAGTCCATGAGCATGGTATTGGAGCCCAAGGTAAGGGGCGCGCAGATCCTCCACGAGAGGTTTTCCGACCCGGCCAGCAGCAATCCGCTCGATTTCTTCGTCATGTTCTCGTCCATCGTGGCGGTCATGGGTAACCCAGGCCAGGCGAACTACAGTGCGGCAAATTCCTACCTGCAGGCTCTGGCTCAGCAACGGTTGTCCAAGGGCTTGACGGTAAGACACGGCTTTGATTGTTTTTTATTTCATTATTTGATTATCGGCCCTTTACAGAGCTCGACTGACCGTTGTGAACAACTCCAGGGTTCAACCATCGACATCGGAGCCGTCTACGGTGTCGGATTCGTCACCAGGGCCGAGCTTGAGGAGGATTTCAACGCAATCCGGTTCATGTTCGACTCGGTCGAAGAACACGAGCTTCACACGCTGTTCGCCGAAGCCGTCGTGTCCGGAAAACAGACGCTCGCGAGGTTCCAGAACGAGGAGAAGCGTGAGCGGACCGTGATCGAGATGGCGGACGTCGAGTTGACCACGGGCATCCCCGCACTTGATCCTGCTCTCAGGGACCGTATTACATTCTTCAATGACGCTCGTGTTGGAAACTTCAAGATTCCCGAGCAGCGCAAAGACGCCGCGGAGGGCGGCGGCGCCAAGGGTTCCGTCAAAGAACAGCTGCAGCAGGCAACGACCTTGGGCCAGGTTCGACAGATTGTCAATAGTAAGAGCCCAAATCTGCTAGCAGTTTATTTTTCCTCTCTTGTCTCTTTTTTTCTTTCTGAGAACATACCAAGCTGACAAACCATTCAGATAATCTGTCGGCAAAGCTGCGTGTCACTTTGCAAATCGCGGATGGGGAGAGCCTTCACCCGGATGTTCCCCTCATAGACCAAGGTGTCGACTCTCTGGGGGCCGTCGCCGTTGGCTCCTGGTTCTCGAAGCAGCTTCTCCTCGACCTTCCACTACTAAAAGTGTTGAGCGGCGCGTCTGTGGCCGACCTGGCCGACGACGCCGCCGCGCGACTGCCGGCGAGCGCCATTCCCTTAGTGAACCAAGGAGAGGAGACCACCGCGGACAGCTCCGACGAGACCAGGTCCAACACGGCGACGAATGAAACTTCCGGCGAAACGCCCCTGACTGGCTCGGTCGACTCGTTGTCGGATGACGAGGCCGAAAAGTTCGACGATGACGACGGACCCGTCGTCGTACGGCACGAGAAGATTTCCTTGGCCCAGGAGTACTCCTGGAAGGTTCATCAGGGAATCGAAGACCCTACCGTCTTCAACAACACCATCGGAATGTTCATGAAGGGCGCCATCGATCTCGAGCGGTTCTCGCGGTCTCTCAAGACCGTGATGCGTCGTCACGAGATCTTCCGGACGGCCTTCAGTCAGGGTGACTCCGACGACTCCGATTCGGACAAGATCCCCCAGCAAACGGTCCTTAAGCATGCGAACAACAAGGTACAGATCCTGCCAGTTTCAGACCGAGAGGCGGCAGAAGGCATGTACCAGAAGCTCCACGAGACAAAGTACGACATCGCAGGGGGCGACACGCTCCGGCTCGTCGACTGCCACTGGGGCAACGACGAGCACTTGTTGATCGTTGCCTACCACAGGCTCGTCGGAGACGGATCGACCACCGAGAACCTCTTTGTTGAAGCAGCGAAGCTCTACAACGACGTGCCGCTGAAGCAGCCGACGGCCCAGTTTGCCGACCTCGCCGCCCAGCAGCGCAAGGACTTGGAAGAGGGCCGTCTCGACGAAGATATCTCGTTCTGGATCTCCATGCATAGCAAGCCATCCGCGTCCGCGCCGCTGTCCCTGATGCAGACCTTGACGGGCGACGATGCCGCCTCGTCGCAAGAACCAAAGGGAGCGACGGGCATCTGGCACCAGCACGAGGCGATTGGGCGTCTGGATCCCATGGTCGCTTTCCGCATCAAGGACCGCAGCCGGAAGCACAAGGCGACGCCGATGCAGTTCTACCTAGCCGCCTACCACGTGTTGCTGTCGCGGATCACGGGCAGCGACGACATCGCCATCGGCATCGCCGACACCAACCGCTCCACCATGGACGAGCTGTCAGCCATGGGCTTCTTCGCCAACCTGCTCCCGCTGCGGTTCGGCGAGTTCACCTCCTCCAACACCTTTGGCGAGCACTTGGTGTCCGTCAAGGACAGTGTGAGGGAGGCTCTCAAGCATTCTCGCGTGCCCTACGGCGTCATCCACGACCGCCTTGGTTCCGGTCTGCCTACGGCGACTACAGGTGCCCCGCTGTTCCAAGCTGTCTTCGACTACAAGCAAGGTCAGGCTGAGAGCGGCGCGATTGGCGATGCCGTCATGACCGAAGTCATCGCGGCCCGAGAGCGCACCCCTTACGACGTGGTGCTCGAGATGTCGGATGATCCCACCAAGGATCCTCTCATCACCGTCAAGCTACAAAGATCCAAGTACTCTTCCCAGGGCTCTCGTGCTTTCTTGGATAACTACATCTCCCTTCTGTCCATGTTCTCCATGAACCCCGCCTTAAAGCTCGCATAGATAGACAGACTAATCAGATTAGAGTGTATTGCTGGTTGCGTATATTGTGTCTCTGTAGTAGAAACAGATAACGCCGAATACAGTTTGACTACTTGGATACTTTAATGGTTGCTTTCATCACAGAAATATCTATCAACGCATGGCAGGCCGATGCTGTATAATCAGTACCCTGCTTGTGGCTGGCGTGTCCCTCCAGATGGCAGCTCTGATGAGCGTGGGTTGGCTTGCAACAATCGACGTCCCATTTACGGTGTCAGATCTGGCGTCTCCGTAACCGTGACCATCTTTGGCATCGGGTTCGGCCTGGGCCGAAAACCTTTATTCCACGTTGTGGCTGCCGGGACTCCCACCAAAGGAGCTGCGGGACTTCACGTTCAATCTTGCCGCCGTGTTCAACGTCGTTGATTAGTGTGCCGTCGCCTTTCTCTTCAGTCTTGAGGGAGCGGCCATCCAAGATCTTGGCAAGGCCAGCTCTTGTTGCGATGACTCCGAGGCGGAAGACGATTTCGAGACCATAATCTTGGTGGCAATGAGAACGTTCTACTCGAGTCATCAGATCTTGGTAGCGGAAAGTGGACGCTACGCATAGATTACAAGTACCCTTTTCTCCCCGCCACGGGGCCATCTTCCTCCTCACTGCGGAAGAGTTGAGCGCTATCAAGGTAGCCTACGACTCCACCAGTTGAATTCTATGAGTTATAGAATGACAGATAATTCCTTCGTTCAGATCAGTGTCAATTAATTTCTGGAATCCTAATTGGTAGAAAGAAAACGTTAATAATAAAACTTTACAAGCGTGTGGGCAGCCATGCTACGTTATAACGGCATTGGCTAATATCTTTCCTAGGATTTGATCATGAGTATCAAAGGAAACGTTGCATGGGATGAACCGTTTTCAAATCAAACTAGCAATTAGTACATAATTTAGAACATAATTTATGGAGATTACTGCCGAATGATCAGTTTTGATTGAGCACTTGTCCAGGAGCATACAGACATCATGAGTGGTCATAAGGAAGAGTCCAATTCTAGAGACAAGGATTTTGTGCCACGTGAAACGAAATCTGCAAAATATATGATACCACTTACTTGGCTGGAGTGAAGAGGAACCGGAGATATGATAGGAGAACAGGAAGGAATTGATCCATGCACCCATCGGGAGTCCTCGCGACCATCTCTCCTCACCAAAGTCATCATCGTGCTCCGTTCACGTTCAGCCCATATTCTTAATGCTCAAGCCTGGCGAGGCAAGGACTCAGCTCTATATCAAAAACACTGCAAAGGGATTTATGCATAGACGTCGATGGACTTTTGTCGCTGTATTGACGTGTTTTACTTGGGTGAGATTGCACTCCAAATGCAAAATGCGAAGTGCAAAAGTCTTGCGGCGCCATCGTACGATTTTCTTTCTGGAATAGCCCTACACCCTACGACTCAATGTAAACCTGGCATAAATCCCGATGTAGCGATTATAAGAGCTATCATCCATGATCACGGCATAAGGGTACTACTAAGGGATTAATGATATCTAGGCGTGGAAAGACGATAATAACTTACGCGCCATGCCGCTCATCACTAGCATGGTCGCCAGCAGACTCGGTGAACCAGATCAGGTGTTCCTGGACCAAGAACAAATGATTCAGAGAAGTTTCCACTGAATTACGGTACTGGTCGGTAAGCAACATCGGCCGTGCTATGTGTCTCTGAGTTGACGAAAGGTTGTTCCATAGCTCAACGGCTCAAATGATGCACGGTATAGGGCTGGTAGAGTTCTTGAATCAATAGATCTAGGCACAATCACCCGTCGTAGAGGTATCATCATGACAGGGCACGGCTCAAAACAACAGAAGGCAAGAAGACAAAGGGCAAGAACTTCACTGACTTACATTGAATCTGCTTGATCGTTCTGTCTGGGCATATGCGGAAACCAAAGGTGAATCCTCTTCGAGGCTATTTACCAACGACTGAAATAAGGATGGATAGATGCGCGATTTGAAATACTCTTAAACACAAGAACAAACTGGCGAAAAAAAAAAGTCCGTTTGAAAGATACGGCAATCTGGAAATCATCTATACGCAACGGCGAAAATCAAATTTTCACTGTACGAGAGCCACCTTGTATCCAGAAACCCAGCGCTTGAATAACTTATTGAACTCGGCAGCTCTTTGTTACTGTAACGTTCGCTGAATGTGTATCGGGATCATCTTCTTAGTCGCAATGCGTAATTTTGCTAAAGACGTCCTTCTACCTGTAATTTTGGGCCTAAAATTGTTAGACACGAGTAGGGAGACAAGCTACATGGGTCCTAATATGCAACTGGCATGTCCAAACTCTGGATGGGAGACTAATGGATGCAAATATAAAGGCTTTTCGGCACTTTGATGTAGCCGACTTAGGGTTTACGTGCATCAATTAATTTGACGCATTGCAATTGCGGTATATGAGGATTACCTGTGAATGCGCGATACATTCAGGAAGTTTAGCATCATGCAGGAGCACCTCTTCAGTTTGTCTTCTATGTTGGCCTACTTTACAAGCTCGCCTTCATCTATGTCACGGCATAGCTTTGAAGAGAAATGTTTATTTGTCTAAGTCAATTTCAAACCTCAATTGCCGCCTCTTTCCTTTCTGCTCGTAAGGAGTACATGCTTTCACTAGTCGCCTCCTTTGCAGTAGTAAAGTAAGGTACGAGATAATTGAATAGTGCCCGCAGTGCCGCCAGGCTGCCGCACACAACGACCACATTCACCTCAACGCCGCTCCAGCTTACAACATCGGCATTATCCCCTAAAATCAAAAGTGTTAGTGACCATTGCGTGTTGACCCATTATTTCTTGGGGTAGTAACTGACACGTTGGGTCGAAGCTGTTTGCAAAGGAGACTAAATATTTGAGTCGAACAACGCTGGCAATGCAACCGCTAAATGTTTCGTTAGTATCTCAACCAACTGAGAAAAGGCTATGTTTCTTACAATGAGCCGAGGCAGAACATAAAGATCAGGCCAAGCTTCTTCTTAAGTCCGAGCTGCAGTTGCAGAAGCTCGGGAATCGGCATAATGAGAAGGACCACATCCTCAACGATGCCGGAGATGGCACCGGCGTATCCGATGGCCGTAAGGTTAAGGCATTGTCCCTTGGCAGACTTATCCCAGGTCGCGGTGAGCGGGATGCATTGGAAGGCGATCAGAAAAACCAAGATGAGTCCGCGGACGGTGAGCACCACGATTGCGGCTTTCGCAGCGATCTGTGATCGCTTTCTTGGGAAGACTCGGTGGTAGAAGCAACAGATGGTGATCTTCGCAGTAACACTAATAAATCAGCTTCACAGAGTCTAGAATTGGGCTTCATAGCGAAACTCACGTCACAAGAACATAGATGATCTGCATCGCATAGAACATCTGCAAACACACATTAGTTATTACAAGTAGTAGGACAGCCATTGAAGGGCCAAATTTACCTGTAAAATTGGCTTCGCATTGCTGGGGTCAATGACCCAGTAATGTTTCCCAAACCCGAGGGAACAAACTACGGAACGAAGTCAGCACCTATATCCCCCTGCCACGGTGAGACCGTTGGTGTCTTACTCGCTACACCACATGCTGATAGAACAATGAGCAAGCCCTTTTGATTGTCAGTTCCCGAAATTCACGTGACGGAAAGAAAGTAGCAAAGGGCATACCAAGCCGAGCAGTGTGACGTAATCATCCCACCACAGCTTATGAGCAACGGTCCAGCGGGCAAAACACCTGAGCAACACGATAAATGTCGTGATAACCGGCAGCGTGATGGCGAATATAGCGTAGCTTCCCTTCCGTTGCTGATTCGGGTAGTCGTAGCATAAAACCTGTGATTTCTGTGTAGCATCTAGAAGGGACAAGCTTTAGAATAAGCTCAAAGCGAATCTTGGACAATTTGCACGCACCAACTTGATCGGCAAAGTCACAGGACAGTTGCACGCATGTTGAGACTCTCAGTTGGATGTCGTCATTCGTGCAGGCACATTTCGCAAGTCCCTTAAGCTGACAGCTTCCCTTTGAAAGGACCTCAGCGAAGCATGGCATCTGAAGTGATCATGTAAGTAAATGTTTAAATAGACCTTTATGTATGATGGGGTTGGAAAGTATACGACAAGAAACGGTCACTTGGCCAAGGGGATCATGACTTACCGAGCATGTTGGTACAGCACCGAGCCATTGGGCAATTGCCGTAGCATTTGTGTCGAATATTGACTCTGCCCCTACCACCAGGGCAAATGCTACCAGGATGCCTGTCCTCAGAAGCATGGACTTCATCATCGCGATAATACCTAGTTGTGTTTCTTTTTGGCAATGAACGTGAAACCCCCTGCCAACGCAAACCCTGTCGACGACAGTGGGAGACTTCGGGAAAAAGACAAGAGGAAAGGGAAAAGCGACTTCGGCACCCTTGCGCCACGGGCGCGGCAAGCTCATATGAGATCCGATCTCCCCAAGACGGGAATCCACGGCGCGGGTCCAATGGTCCGCAGTGTCACTCTGGTTGAGAGGCTGATGCCGCCGCAGGATCCGGTTACCATGCTAGAACGGTTTAGAAGCGGAATTTGACGGTGCATTGAGTATGGACGCCGGTGGGCAATGGCGCTAGTCGCAAGGTACAAGTTGACTCGCCGAGACTGACGCGCCTGCTCCGGACTACTAGCCGCAAATGTTGACCCCACGTCGACATCCTAAGCCAAAAGTATTGGGAGCCTCGCCGTGCTAGAGCTGATTCAACAGCGCTAACTTCGATGTTCGAGGATCAACTTTCCCAATGCGCTTGGCTCGTGTCAGTTGCTAGATGCGGACGGCGGAATGTGCTGCGCCTAGGTAGGTAGGTAGTCCTTCTGGGAGATGTCTCGTACGTGGACCCCGACACTAGCAGCTCTTAGTCGCCACTAGGAGAGACTAGGACAGACAAAGAGCGGAATTGGCTGTCTTTCGGCAACGGGAATAGAGTTTTCTACCTAGGTACACTTGTTTCACTCATGATTTGGGGTGTCCATGTGGGCAAAGTGGACAAATCTTCTCGTGTTCTGTCAAGCCTTGGAATCCACAGCTATAACCCACATCATATTGAGCCGACAGTGGAAGACACCCGGACATGACTCCCGTCTTTGACTCCCGATAGTCGTGAAATTCAGGCAAGTCACCGCATTAGTCTAGATTGAAGACGAAACGATGGCGTGTGCTGCCAAAGGTTGAAACTCAATGTCAGTTCACACTACCAACTCGGCCGACACGAGCATTGGAACCCGCAGGCCCGGCAGGGTATCCTAACATTCCACGCCTGAAGGAAAGAAGGAGGGGTGGGGAAAATTCAAGATTGACAGAGGCGCAATCATTTGATCAAGGTCGCTCCAGGAATACCAGTGAGGAGGCAAAAGAACGAGGCCAACACCTTTGTTCTAATGCAATCTCACTCTCTTCACCGCACTTGGCCTGGCCGTCCTCTAACCCACGTTTTACAGCTGTATATAATCCATACTTCATTTTCCGCATGGCATAAGTGGTCAAATACCGTTGAGAAGTGGCTGGAAAGGGAGTTGCAAGGAATTAGGTATCAATGACGTAGGCGAGAGTAAAGGCTACAAAACTGACTGTAAGGTCCTAACCGCATATCAAGCCTCAGCGAACATGTTTGAGCAGTTACTGAAATTTTACAAAGTTCCCAATATGTACTCTTGTACCACACCATACATTGAGGAACACATATCTCCTCAAGTATCACAAAGAAATACCCTTGGACATGGTTGTTTCCCATTGACTTCGTCATGACGTCGGTACGTGTGTATATATGTACTGGCTATGATAGGTAGTACAGATCTGTCAGTTATCGCGTAATTATCCGTGATAACTCTTTCTCGGTTGTTTATGGTGCATCTAGTTAGAGGCATTAATAGAGGTAAGTGTTACAGAGAAACCAGAGGCGTGTTATACCGACATTGATCAGACCGCACTGGCAGCTCTAGGCTTTGGAATTGACGCTTCATCATGCATTGGAAGCAACTTCCCTCTCGCCTAATTTTTCTTGGCATCTGCTGTTAGTGAATGAGTGAGCCTACCACCAAATTACTAACAGCCGAAAACTCTTCACCTCCCCTTGCCGGAGCCCGCATCCGCGATGGCCTCACAGCCGCCGTCGGGCACCGGACTGATGTCGGCCGACCAAGCCGACCCCGAACCAGGCTCCGGGACACCTCCGGAGCCGAACCCCACCTCAAGAGCTAAGCGACGCCGCGACGCCGAGGCACAGCCGACCCGGCCCAGCCTAACGGGAAGCCAGCTTGATGCCACCACCGACGCCCCTACCTCGGCCGAGGGGCCCGCAGCCTCTACCGCATCTGCTCCGAGCGGATCTGCCACAGGGTCCGTCTTGACAGCCCTTGCAGAAGAAGCTAGACAGTACGAGGCACGGAAAGACGTCTTTCTGACCATTGCACGGTCCGTCGACAGCGTTGTCGCCAGCTTTGACGGTTCTAGAAAGCAGATCGCGAAAGAAGCCACTGCCTATGTCATTCAAACCCTCAAGAGACTGATCAATCACGAGACAAGCCCAATAGCGGCCCGGAGTTGGGCGGCTGTCGTCGCACCGATGGCGGGCAACACCACTGCGGCGACCCGGAGCGGCCAGAGCTGCCAGAGCTCTGCCCGCCCGAAGGCCACACTCCCCGCCGAGGATCAGCCGCAGGCGCAGCCGAAGGAGGACCTCCGCATCTTTGCCCGCGTCCCGGAAGAAAGCTTAGCGGCCGCTCGGAAGATCGCACCGTTCGCCGTACGACAGATCGTCTGTAAGGCCGTTGGCCTGGGGCTAGCGGACCTTCCCCACGTCTACCATATCAGCACAGGTTACTCTCTGAAGCCGCGAAACAAGCAAATACAGGAAAGACTACTTGCAAGTAAGGCAAAGCTGGCGGAATGCCTCGGCGCCCACCAGGTCGAGACGCCTATCAAGTGGTACACTTACGTTGTGCCGCGATGCCCAACAAAACTACACAGCATTGGCGGGGACGTCCTGGACCCAGCCACACTCGTTGAAGATGAGGTCTTCGCACAGACAGGACAGAAGCCTGTCCTTGCTCGACCGTCCCGCCTTGGGCCCAACCCAGTCACGAACGAAATATCTTGGCTCATATCATTCACATCAGAGGTCACGCCCTTCAGGCTCTTCAACCAAAGCGGCAGATCTCTGCCCGTCAAGAAACGAAGGACGCTCATCCGACACGACCCCGGCTGCCAGGGCTACCACTCCAACCGGTTCTGCGGACGACGACCGATCTGCAGCAACTGCGGAAGACCTTCCGATTCACACGAAACGGGACCCTGCATGGCCAGGCCCCAATGTGCCAACTGCTGCGGCCCCTTCCAAGCCAGCCACACAGACTGCCCAGCGAGGCCCTCGGCCGTAAACGGCGTCGTCTCCCTTCCCGGTCGAAAGGAGCGGGCTCGGATCCGGAAGGCCGGCCAGAAAGCATCGGACACTCTGTACAAGGCTACTCGATCCGACAGTAGCCAGGAGGCGGCAGGCGTCCCTACCTCCACCAGCCAGAACCAGCAACCCGGCGCCAAGCGCGCGCGCACGAGAACGCCCTCCGCAAGCTCGATCGTTTGCCTCGGTGACGGAAGCACTGACAGCAGCAGCATGGATGAAGACGAGGCGGACGAAGGCGAAGGCGAAGACTCCCCCGACAACACCTCCATCGACCGTCCCGTGCTACCCATGCCAAGCAGGAGCCAACGGGCAGCACAGAAGCCAAACTACAACGTCGCGAATGCCTACACCCACCTCGAACTCGACTCGGAGACGTAAGCCGAGAGCGGCGACCCCACGGATGCTACGCGTTGCGCAGGGCAACGTCGGAAAGATCTCCCCGGCGCACACGGCTTTCCTGCAGCTCTGCTGGGAGGCTCAGATAGATGTGGTCCTCGTCCAGGAACCCTGGACGGGCTGGAAGGACGGAAACGTGCAACTGAACACGCACCCGGGTTTCGACTCTTTCGTCCCGGTCGACTTCTGGGACAGCGAAGGAACCAGACCAAGAGTATTGACCTACACACGCAAAG